TTGGGGATACATAGCGAGTTTGGTGCATCAATTGCTTGAAATCGGCCGAAAATATATATGGGAACTATATCCAAATCTGAACCGATTTCAATATAATTTGACAAATTTATTTTCGGATTAAATCCCGTCACACATTCCAAATTTCATTGGAATCGAACATTCATATTGTGTTTGAGGCATCAAATGAACGAAATCGGTCGAAAATATATATGGGAGCTATATCCAAATCTGAACCGATTACAATATAATTTTAGTTCCAAATTCCATTACGTATTCCAAATTTGGAGACTGTATCTTCAACCAATCAATAGATATGTGCATGTAAAATCTAAATTTTTGGGAGGTACCTCCGATTCTGATGCTATGTCTCCAGTTCCAAGTGGAAATTCAAAAATGTATATAGCCTATGTTACTTTCAGGCGATGTTGCAGTATATATGGAAATGTTCAGGAAAATCTATTCAGCGGTTTTCGAGTCCATAAATTACAAACAAACAAACATTTTCCTCTTTTATAGATATAGAAGATATATATAAAAGAAAGTTGTGTTAGTTACTACGCTTATAACTTAAGAACCGCTGGACTGATTTTAAAGATTCATACAAATTCGGAATTGTCTCTTAGCCGAAAAGGATAAAATCCAAAAAAATTGCATAAAAATTCGACCATTTATTTCGAACATTTTCATTTTGATTTTTGAAATGAACAATCGTAATGTTTTATTTAGAATGTTTTTTTCCATTTTGACCTACTTTTTTCGAATGTACATTTGTAGTGTTTGTTTTTTATATTTTATTTCTGAGTTCGAATATTAATACCAATTTATTTAATTGACGTGATTTCTTGAGAACCGAAATTATAGGCGAGTTACATTGAAGTGGAAAATAGACGTGAATATTTTTTTTATTTTGAATTCTGAATGAATAATATTAAAAATGAATTGAGTGACCTAGGTGGACCTATTTCTTTTCATATGACAATAATCCGTCCAATGAGAACTCAAAATGCAAGGTGCAATCGCTTTTGCAGGTCATAATATATGATCCTGGACAAGGGTACAACCCGATTTCAAGTATAGTTTACATTTTAACCATATTTTGCATACTCATTTTAGCAAAAGTTGGTAATTGAAAAGAAACCAGCCTCGCAAAAAATGATAACGTTCGTCACCATCATATGTTTTAAACTATTTTCGCGGTCTTCGACATTTTTTTCATTTTTAGGCCTTTATTTGGCAACTTTGTTTCTAAGGGTGTAGAAATCCTCTTCTCATAAAATTTTCAATATTCGGAGTAAAGTCCATCTTGGTCTTGACCAAATTCATCAATTGATTTGGCTAAAAAATTGTATTTTGGCTACTCTGGGGTAGAGAATCATCTGACAGATAATTGTCCTTATAGGCATTTATTTGAGTATAATTCCTACATTAGTGTACCTCCAAGTCCACTTTCCCAAACAATGTGTTGTCAGAAACGAAAATTTTATATTCTATTGAATTTGTAACTCCCAAAAAATATTGGTTGGGAACGTATATGGGATGTACGTCTATATAACATAAACTCCAAAATGTCAAACTGAGACTCATTCTGTCGGAAATTTTGGCAGAAACATGAAAAAAATGACGAATATTAATATCTTTGATAGTCATTGAATTATACTATGATGAAAACTATTGATTTTATGGGGTCTCTTACGCACAATTTAAATGACAAAAATAAATAAATTACATTCTTACTGTAATGGGTGTAGAAGAGTAATTATCTTTGACTATTCTGATATCATTATGCCCCTAATTATGAGGTGGACAAACTAAATACCACACAGCACGGTATTGTAAACGTTGTAAATACAAATAAATATAAATAAATATAAATTTGAAATCGGGTTGTACCTTTATCCGTGAGTTATGATCGATATCATGTCCTGCAAAAGCGGTTTAAGGTATCTTAAATGTTCGGGAAGAATTTTTGGAAGGATAGAAATCCTTTTCTTATTAAAAGTCCCATTCGCTCTACTATTTTGCACCCTTTATATTTGGTACTTTACTGATTGTAGTCCCAAAAATTTTTGCATTTTGAGCTCTCATTGGACGGATTATTGTCACATGAAAGAAGTAGGTCCACGCTTTGAAATGAGCCCCATTAGTCTTTTTCGGTCATTTTTGTTTGTTTAAATGTCTGCGCATCTTCCAGCTGAAGCACGATGTAGGCCCTGGAGTTGAAAGGTAGATGTTAGTTACAATCGTATTTCGCACTTATTTCATTTTTTGGTAAAAAATTGTATATAGTGAAAAATTATTCTTTATTTCGTTCACAAAAAATCCACTGAATTCAATATGATAATACAAATTGAAAAAAAAAATGACAAAAGAATAATAACAAATTGAAAAAATCTTCAACTTGTTCGCTGATTTTTTACAGCAACTGTTTAAAGATCCTTACAAAGTTTGTCAATGGAATGTACTTTTATTTTAAAATTCAATTCCATTGGACATTTTTTTCGATATTTTCCCGTTTTGAGAATTTTTGTAATGAGATCTCTTTTTTCGTAATTTTTTTTTAGCGATTTTGAAAAGGTTATTATCTTCTAACTTTGGTGTGACCGCGTTAAATTATTTCGATATCATCTATTCCGTTTCGCCACCACATAATTCGGTACTACACTTCCATGTAACCCGTCATCAATTTCAGTTCTCAAGAAATCAAGTTAATTAAATAAATTGATATTAATATTCGAATTCAAAAATAAAAAATAAAAAAACACTACAAATGTACATTAGAAAAAAGTAAGTCAAAATGGAAAAAAATCATGCAAAATAAAACATTACTATTGTACATTTCAAAAGTCAAAATGAAAATGTTAATATATCACATTTTTACGTGGTTTTTTTGTATATTATCCTTTTCGGATAGGAGACAATTCCGAATTTGTATGAATCATTAAAATCAGTTCAGCGGTTCTTAAGTTATAAGCGTAGTAACTAACACAACTTTCATTTATATATATAGATGTATAGATAGATTAAAAAGTATGCGTGGTCAGTTCCTCAGCCCCCAAACAAATACTTAAGGTTGGAGGGAAGGTCAACAGTATCTCGTGCAATAATTTTTAAACCAATATCTTGTTTATTTGGGAAATATAAGGATTTTAGATAAATCAAGATAGTGGGCGTAAAAGTAGGCGTGGTCAATATTTTTTTCTTTAAAAACCTAACTTGCGGTATGACGAATGTTTGTACAAAAAATTATGCAAATCGGTCCAGCCGTTTTCAACTGATTCCGTTACCAACAAACAACAATTGATTTTTATATATATAGATAACTAAACTTAAGAACCGCTGGACTGATTTTAACGATTCATTGAATTGTCTCCTCTCCGAAAGGGATAATATCCAAAAAAGTCGCGTAAAATTGTAATATATTAACATTTTCATTTTGACTTTTGGAATGTACAATAGTAATGTTTTATTTTGCATGATTTTTTTCCATTTTGACTTACTTTTTTTCTAATGTACATTTGTAGTGTTTTTTATTTTTTATTTTGAATTCAAATATTAATACCAATTTATTTAATTGACTTGATCTCTTGAGAACTGAAATTGTGCCGGGTTACATGGAAGTGTAGTACCGAATTATGTGGTGGCGAAACGGAATAGATAATATGGAAATAATTTAACGCAGTCACACCAAAGTGAAAATATAACTACTTTTTCAAAATCGCTAAAAAATCACGAAATAGAGATCTCATTGCAAAAATTCTAAAATCGGGAATAATTTAAAATTTTTTTTCAATGGAATCGAATTTTAAAATAATAGTACATTCTATTGACAAACATCGCAAGGACCTTTAAATTTCTGCTGTAAAATATCATCGAATAAAGTGAAGATTTGTTTCCCTTTTCAATTGCTTTTCTTTCAAATGATTTTTCAGTTTGGCTTATCATAATGAATTCAATCGATTTTTTGTAAATAAAATAAAGAATTATTTTCACAATATAAACAATATACGCTTATTACTAAAGAACGGCTTGACGGATTTTGACGATTCATAAAATTTTGGAATCGTATCCTGGCAAAAAATCGCGGTAATTTTAAAAATTTAAAATTTGGGGGTAAAGAACCTCATCTCATGAAATTGTCATTTTTCGGAGTAGAGTCCATCTCGGTCTTGACCACATTCATCAATTGATTTGGCTAAAAAATTGCATTTAGACTTTTCTGGGGTAGAGAATCATCTTACAGATAATTGTCCTTATAGGCATTTATTTGAGTATAATTCCTACATTAGTGTACCTCCAAGTCCACTTTCCCAAACAATGTGTTGTCAGAAACGAAAATTTTGTATTCTATTGAATTTTTAACTCCCAAAAGAATATTGGTTGGGAATGTATATTTGGGATGTACGTCTATATGACATAAACTCCGAAATGGCAAACGCTTTCAGTTGGAAATTGTGGTAGAAACATGAAATTAAAATTATTCTTACGGTAATGAGTGCAGAAGAGTAATTATCTTTGATTATTCTGCAATCATTCTGCCCCTAATTATGAGGTGGACAAAACTAAATACCACACAGTACGGTATTCTAAACGTTGTAAATACAAATCCCAAATTACAGCCGCTTACATAATTCAGACCTGTGTTCTATTAGGCATATGCATTATAGACTAAAAGTTCGGGCCGGCAACGCGGACAGGGCCAGCTAGTTTTTATATATGCCTGAAAATGCCAAATTTGTGGGTATTTTCCTGGAAAATGCTGGGTTGTTATGCTGCTGTTGGTGGACAGAAAAATATTCCTTGAAGTTAGAAATATTTTCCTCTCGGTTTTGAATCGAGAAAAATGGAAAGAAAGGAATAAAACAATGGGATGAGTTTTGGGTTTGGAAAAAGAACAATTATGGTTCTTTACTTATTCAAATTGGAAAATTTGAACGACGCTTACCAATAACAACAGTTGTGATTGTAGGTTGGTTTACAAGTAAATTTATTAGGAAGAAGGAAAATCGAAAAAGCCGCAGATAGGACACAAACGGACATTTTGAGTAATTGAGCGACACAAACACAAGCAAAGCTTATGGATCGACTCAAAACTTAAGAAATAGAATAAGGGAAGCCAGATCGAAGAATTTCGTATTTACATTACCGGCCCCCTTGCAGTGCGTCTGCAATGGAAAAGAAACAATCTGATCCGTGTATGTCCTGGTCTGGTTACAAAGCAATGGGAATGAAAATGAATTTAGCTTAATTCAAGGATAATTTTTATAAAGATGATGACCAAATACATAGTTAGGTTTCTGTCATCAGACCAGATGGAATCACGAACTCGCACCTGCTTCGGAATGTACAAGCTGAAAAGGAAAGTTTGTGCTTTTTGTGGAAAGTAAGACAATAGTGCATTCTAAGGAATTCAGGCATTTATTAATTCAAAATCAGGAAAAAATTGTAAAAATGAAAAAATTAACATATTTAGGAACATTTGGCCTTTGGCCAGTTGGTAACCCATTTCTGGCATACACCCCCTCCATTACTCTCGGATAGATATCGACGCCTATGACAATGTCTATCCCCGATGACTGATAAAATTTCGGATCAGCCAAGAAGAGGTGTGGGAAATTCTTTTTGAAGTCGTCGGACAGGGATTCGTCAGACGTCTTTGTGGTGATCCGATTATCCACACGAAAGGTGCCTTCGATTTTCACTTTGGAGTCAAATCTTGAGAACAGTGTCAATTGGCACACTGTCTCCTCTCTCAATGTCAAGGTGTTGACTTTAATTTTCTCCACAAAGTTCCTCAATATGCGGCTTACTGGAGAGGCGGAATCCAACAAACATCGTGCCACATTCTTCGCATCTATCCTTACCAGGACCGTGGGTAGCAAGATGGTCCGATTTTGCTGGATCAGGGACGTGAGAGATCCCTTCGTGTTACGGGAGGTTGCTGAGGACGATGAAGGCCTTTGTGGTACTCGCCGAGCTTTTGATGTTGATGGTCGCGGTGAAACCGACCTAGACTCCAATCGGAACTTGGGAGATGGTAGAAGGATCTGGGCCCGCAGCTTTGGATCCACGTGGAGCAATATGTGGTGGTATTTGTGACAGTGGCGACAGCCAGTGTCACTGAAACACGAACCGTGGGAATGGTCCAGGACCAAACAATTCACGCAATATTTGTGTTTGCGAACCACTTCGAATCGTTTCGTCATGTCCATATCCAGGAACTTATGGCATCGACGTAATGAATGAGGCCGCTGACAGAGCCGGCATAAGAATCTCCCGTTTTGGTATGGGGCTTTGTTGTGGTTGCGCTGACCTTTGGTGGCGGAATGTTTGGGCATGGTTCTAAATAGAATGCGAAAAAAAGGACACAGAAGGGAAAAAATAAAGTATGGAGTTAGTGGCTTGGAAGGACGACAAGCTTAGTGATAGGGCGAGTAATAACCCCTTTTTGAGTTACAATATCTGCAACACGGATATGACGATCGGAAACTTGATAAGTCTTACAAACCCGACCAAGGCGCCAGGAATTTGGCGGAAGATTATCATCATAAATTGCGACCAGTGTGTTTTCTCCAATGTCCTTCTCACATGTTTGCCATTTACAACGCTTTTGGAGTTCTCGGAGATATTCAGTCTTCCAACGAGCACAGAAACTCTAATGGATTGCTTTTAGTCGCTGCCACCTATTGATTATTGAAATTGGACTGTCTTCTAGGTGTGGATCAACAGGGACTAAAATGGGCGTGCCTATTAGAAAGTGTCCAAGAGTTAAGGCGGCAAAATCTGTTGGCTCTGAGGAAATAGGAGAGAGAGGACAAGAATTCAAACAGGCTTCAATTCTGGTCAGAAGCGTTAGAAATTTTTCGAACGTAAACTTGAATGAGCCGTTCGGCTTCCCAGAGCCCGTCCATATAAGGAGACCCGGGTGGAATAAAGTGCCAACTAAGGTTTTGTACGGAATAAATGGAAATGACATCGGAACGAGAAGCTTGAATAAACTCTTTCGCCAGAATTTTGGACGCTCCCACAAACGTCGTGCCATTATCGGAATAAAGATTTGCAGGGCATCCTCGTCTATAGGCGAATCTATGAAATGCTGCCAGGAAGGTGGAAATGAAAAGATTGGAAGTTGCTTCGAGATGTATTGCCTTAATGGAAAAAGACAAGAAACACACGTACGTATCCCTTCGTTATACTGCATGAGCGTCCGCAATATGTTTTAACATCGAAGCGGCCGCCAAAATCTAGCCCAGTGCGATAAAAAGCGCGGGTAAGCTCTGTACCTTCAGAAGGAAGAGCAGCCATTATTTAATTCTGACAGAGCTTCTCATAAAGGATACAGACTTGCATTTATGAATAGAGGCTTTAATGAGGTTCTTGACTTTAGAAATCCAATACTGGGATCGTATTACTCGAAGAACTAATTGATTGCCGCCATGGATATTGATTTTATGAACAAAATCAACATAAAGCCGGGAAAATTTACAATTATATGGAAGGATTATTGAGCGAAGAATCCAAGCGTCCACAGCAACGGATTAAACCATCGGAGTCTAGAAATGGATTTAGACTTAAAATGGAGCTTGAAGGTGAAACGTGGTGCTTGCATAATAATGCCTTGTACTCATTATGAAAATGAAACTTCTGGTACCATTTGATCAATAAATTTCGGGCCACAAGTATTTCAGAACTGGAAACCAGCAGAGTCTCGTGAATGAAATTAGAGCGAAGTCGTGGATGTGTTCGGCGGAAGAACCGATGAATGTAGCCAAACACTCTAAGCGAACACGAATAGGAAGAAAAGTTTTCAGAATATCGGTGGAATCTTCAAAGTATGAAAAGTGAACCTTCAGGGGTTTACATTCGACACATGTTTCTTGATATGACCATAGTCTGTCTCTGGATTGAGGATTTCTGAAGCCACGAAGGTAGGCTTTGTACGTTCAGAAGGAAGAGCAGCCATTATTTGTTTCTGACAGTGCTTCTCATAAGGGATAAAAGGCTTGTATTTATGAAAAGAGGCTTTAATGAGGTTATTGACTTTAGGAATCCAATATTGGGATCGTATTACTAGAAGAACTAATTGATTGCCGCCATGGATATTGATTTTATGAACAAAATCAACATAAAGCCGGGAAAATTTACAATTATATGGAAGGATTATTGAGCGCTTTTCATCGTATGGATTACCTGGAGAAGAATCTAAGCGTCCACAGGAACGGATTAAACCATCGGAGTCTAGAAATTGATTTAGACTTAAAATGGAGTTTGAAGGTGAAACTTGGTGCTTGCAAGATAATGAAAATGAAACTTTTTGGTACCATTTGATCAATAAATTTCGGACCACAAGTATTTCAGAACTGGAAACAAGCAGAGTCTCGTGGATGAAATTAGAGCGAAGATGTGGCCACAGTCTGGCCACTGAATTGAGGATTTCCGAAGCCACGAAGGTCCAAATAACCAGAGATCATAGTAAATGATGTCTCAGGCTTGTTAGATCAGCAGGCTTTGATTCGGATGGAACGTGATGGAATCTGAAAGGATCCACCACTTGAATGATAGTGGAAACTCTGTTGTCTACGAATGTTAATCCATGAGAAAAAGGTTTGGAAAACCAGAAAAGAGCTATTATGTAGTCTTACCAGCAGAATACGGTGTTCTTGGGAATATCGAGCGTTGGGAGTAATACGTCGGTCATTTCCGCCAGTAGGACAGACCCAAATAGCTCTAGTCTAGGAATAAACTGCATCTTCACTGGAGCAACTCTTGTTTTGGCATACACCAGGTGAGTGAATATTGAGGTACTTTTAGCTATTCGCACATATAAAGTGGCTACGTATGCCTTTTCAGAAGCATCGCAAAACCCTTGAAAATGATTGAAACTTCTTCCATTGGCGCAAGGTGGCTGGACTTATGACTTCGTCCCAACCAGTACCATCGGATCATATCTGCTGCGTTATTATTCTGGGTGGCTTTTGCCACTACAATTCATGGCAAAAGCCACCTAGCAGTATGGAATAATTTGCAGTTCTGAGACAGAATCTTCCTTTTTGTGTAGGTACAGGAAGATGGAAAAAGCCTTGTCGTAAAGAAAAAAGAATCTGAACGAGCATTCCAACGAATCCCTAGCGTTTTTCCTGTGCTACTATCGTTTAGGAAATCATCGGATTTAAGCTCATTTTCATTCTGGCTACTTTGAACGTCACCACCTGGTCAAAGCAAAGTGCGGATAGCTAAATATGGAGCGCAATTGATACCAAATGTGACAGTTTGTAGCTCAAAATCTTAAATGTTTTCACCTGGATGGTTGCTGAAGATTACTCTTTGGAATGGAGTATGATCGGAATGAACCAGGATTTGACGGTACATTTTCTGGATGTCAGCGTTGAACACATATCGGAAAAATCGCCATTCGGAATCAACGTATTCAAATCATTCTGCAATACTGAACCAGTATGGTCGCTGAGAATTTGACCATTAGAAGAAGATGCATTAAAAACCACATGAACTTTGGTGGTCAAACTTTCTGGTTTAAAAACTGCGTGGTGAGGCATGTAGTAATGGAAGGAATCATTATCGCAGCTCGGAGCTTGATTTGAAGTCATATGATTTAGTTGTATGAACTCGTCTAGAACCTGGTCATACTCTTTCTTGAAATTTGGATTTCGGATAAAGCGACACTCATTGCGATGGAATTGTGAGAGAGCGCTTGGGCGGGATTGTCCAAGGCGTATTGTATCTGGAAATCCATCCTTGAAAGGAAGGCGAACAATATACCTGCCATCTTCATTTCTTGATGTAGTCGACATGAAAAGGCGCTCGCAAAGTTTGTCGGATTCGGAATAAAATCTTTTCCTTGGAAGATTCTCCACCTCCCAGAAACGGCTAATTTCTTTATCAAGAGAAATCTCGCAGAAATTGGAGATCACTATGGATGATTGAGACGGAGTGGATGTAGGAATCGGACCCGTGAGGATCCATCCAAATATGGTCTCTTGGCCGATCAAAGAATCACAGAGATTAGGCTTCAGTCCGGATCTCATGATCTCCGGAATGAAATCACCGCCTATCAACAAATCAATATTGGAGCTCTTCTAGAAATGTGGATCAGCAAGATTGATATTGGGAAGCCGAGAAAATAGTGAAGGTGCAAGGTATGCGACGGAAGGTTTCCAGATAAATGTAGAACTACAAGCGCCTGGACCGAGACACGTACGGAATTATCAAATCTTGAACATAGATTTAAGGAACAAAATTTTCGAACGGAAACAGCAGTGGTATTATTAATGCCGGAAATCTGCACATTCGTACGCTGGTATGGAAGTTTTAATTTATTAAAAAATCTTTCGGAGATGAAGGTTCCCTGAGATCCAGAATCAAGCAGAACACGTTCTGGATAAGAGACTCCCAGGTGTAGCACATTTACTAACGCAGTCCCCAATAAAACTCCCCTTGAACTCGCAGAGAAGCAAGATTGAATGACTCCGTTCCCAGAACTAGTGGACTGTGAGGAATTAGGAGTGAATGGAACAGAGTTGGAGTTCAAAGTGGAATTACTGTTAGAGGCGGAAGCAAGAGTGGATGGATGGACATGAACATGAAGCATTGTGTTATGTCTCTTTTAGCACTCAAAGCAATTGTTTTTGCTTGTACAATTTCGTACGTGATGCGTTTTCGAGAAACAATTGAGGCACAGACCTTGTTTCTTTACCTCGGATGTGCGTTGCCTTATGTCCATGGCAATGAACTTTGGACACTTTCGAATGATATGTGAAGAATTCGAACACAATGGGCATTTCGGAACCGAAACTTTAGTCTGGAATGAACTGCATTTTGAACCTTTTGCATGTGAAATGGATTTCGCTTTATTTTCATCAGCCTTTGGATGGTTGCGCATCTCGGAAACGGACTCAAGTGTACGATAACGATTGGAGAGAAAGGAGTCAAGGTCTTCCCACTTTGGAATAGCTGTTTTATCAGATAAACCTTGCTCCCAAAGTGTCAGCGTTGAGTCTGGAAGACGATTGGAACAAAGGAATACAAATATCGGATCCCAACTTCTGACATCGATCTCGTACATTGCAAGTGTATCAATACAGGAGTTGATATCACGTTGCATTGACTTAATGGCACTAGCTGATTCGGATTTAAAAAAAGGAAGATTGATTAAAACTTTCAGCTGTCCATTCACAAGAATGCGCTTATTTTCGAAACGAGAACATAGGTTCTGCCACGCTAGCTGGAAACCTTGATTAGTCAAGGGAGCTCTTTGGACTATATCACGTGCTTCACCTTTAGACTTCTGGGTCAAATGGAATAAGCGCTCAACTGGACTGAGCCTGGAATTTTTGATGTACACGACCGTGAACATGTCTCGGAATTTTGGCCATGACATGTAATCTCCATCAAAGACTTCGGTGTCGCATGGTGGAATGTTAAAAGAATAACTTGAACTATGATCGGGATGGATAACAGAGGTAGGACTTTGGAATGGTAATGATTGTGGAGAAATTGTGGGTTCTTTTGGAGCTGCTTGGGACTGAAAATCCTCCAGAAGTTGAGTCAACTTGGCTAAACATGTACAATAAGTCACGTACGTACTGTTGTACTTAGCTTTGAAGGTCTCCAACTCAGAAGCAGTATCTTCATCACGATCTTCCTCATCCCCTTCATTTTCCCGATCAATCATGAATTGCTCGAATGATGATCCCATAGGGACTTGAATTCGGATATATGAATTTTTATTAATTGGGAAGACGTGAGAGGAATATTACCATCACTGACACCTGCATTAAATGCGACTAGGTGATCTGCGTTACGAATAAAGGAATCCAACGACATAATTTCTCAGAAATCGTAGAAATATATGAACAAGTTGATGTTCTCTATGCTCTTTAAGGAAACAAAATGAAGTATTTCCAGCCCTTTCAAGAAGATTGCGTAGGAAAATATCGAATATCTGCTCAAAAATGCCGAAAATAAGAAAAATTTGGCAAAGTTCGGAGAAAAACGGAAATTTTGTAATAATTTTTCTATTAGAAAAGCGACCGCTAGCGGCGATATGATGTACTAAAAGCTCAAAACAAGCGAAAAACTCTTAAAGTATTTTGAAGTAACCCAAATCGAATGTCCTATCGCAAGAAAATTGGGAAATTGTGAAGAAGCGCAAACTTCCAGGAATATTTTTCAATATCACGAGCGATCTCTGGCGGAAACAGGACGTACTATGAATAGAACAGGGCTAATTTTTTTTCCGAATATATGGACAGTATATCGAAAAGTCAGAAAAAGTTTAAAAAATTTCCAAAAAAATGTGAAAATTAATAATTTCACAGCTATTTTCTTATATAAAAGGCGACATCTAGCTGCGAAAATATGCACTAAATCCCAACAGGAACAATGGTAGTTGAATAGTCCCACCGGTATATGTGCAATTAATATATAAAATAATATGTGACGCAAACTATGTAAAGTGCGACCATATAAACGGAACGACGGTAGGGTACACGTATAAACGAAGAGAACACCAACAGAAAAATAACCGATCACTGTTGAGTGGAATGGCACAACAGAGCGCTGCTTGTGTTCGCTCAGCCAAGTTGGACGACTCAACAACAAGTGGAAATGTGAAGAGATTCAGTGAGGGTTCTCTTACAACAACAACAATAATAATGAAAAAACAAACGGCGATGGATAATAGAAAAAAATTAATATTTTCGCGGCAAAACAAAAAGGAAAAAATGAGAAGAAAACACACTGTCGCGAGTTAAGAAATACGTGGAATAAGAAAATTAAATAAGAATTTATATTATCGAAAATTGAAATAATAGAGTAATAAATGAAATATTTATTCCATTTATTTATTAAAAATCTAAGAAAAATATGGAGATTTAAGGGAATATTTAATCTTGGACTTGAATTGGTTCGAAAGTATACCAAAAAAAAGAATACTTTTCGAAATCTAAATAGAAACACTGTGCGTTAGATAGAAAAGATAAAATCAAATTGCCGACGGCAAAACACACTTTGACTAACGCACTGAAAATTAATGTGTTTCTTTTTTTAAATGCACTATTGACGTTCACTTGGATAATATAAGCACAAACTTACCTTGATTTTGATGAAAAATCGATGGAAAAAATGAAAATTTAAACAGCAATAAAATCCGGTTCGAACTGGACCAAATGCCAAATTTGTGGGTATTTTCCTGGAAAATGCTGGGTTGTTAGGCTGCTGTTGGTGGACATAAAAATATTCCTTGAAGTTAGGAATATTTTCCTCTCGGTTTTGAATCGAGAAAAATGGAAAGAAAGGAATAAAACAATGGTATGAGTTTTGGGTTTGGAAAAAGAACAATTATGGTTATTTATTTATTCAAATTGGAAAATTTGAACGACGCTTACCAATAACAACAGTTTTGATTGTAGGTTGGTTTACAAGTAAATTTATTAGGAAGAAGGAAAATTGAAAAAGCCGCAGATAGGATTGAGTAAATGAGCGACACAAACACAAGCAAAGCTTATGGGTCGACTCAAAACTTAGGAAATAGAATAAGCGATGCCAGATTGAAGAATTTCGTATTTACAATGCCGTTACCCACGTTATAAGGGTAGGACCAGTATTAAAGGACTAGATTTAACTGTATTGAAATCATCAAAAGCCAAATTAGAGCATAGTTTTTAAAGCATAATAATTCACAGATCTGGCTCACATAAGTGACACAGTTTTTATTATAAATGATGACTCGACTAAAGGGAAATAAATATGCATTTCAAAAGTGTCAATATAGGTTCACGTACCGGGCGATTTATAGTGGTTCAAAAAACCTGATCCAATTTTTCAGCCAGAGGTTTTAATTTGAGAGTTGGAAATCCAAATAATATAGCACATATATTAAACAGTATACATCAACTATTTATAATACTCCCATGTAAGATGGTTCTCTACCAAAGTAGCCTAAGCACACATTTTAAGCCAAATCGATTCGAAAATATTTATAATCAAAACCCTCGAAATAGGTAAAATCAGGAGGTACCTTTATATGGGCGCTACTCCAAAACATTGACAAATTTCCCCGAAGAGGTCTTCTATCCCTTAGAAACCAAGGTGCCAAATAAGGGCAAAATCAATTGAAATTGTGGCCAAGACCCTGTAAATAGTTGAAATTAGCGGATGCCTTCATATAGTGGTTATACCAAATCTTGGTCCTATACTTATAATTATTTGAAAGAATGTTTTGTTCTTTCTAAAATCTCGAATTACCAACATTTAAGGAATTCATATTTTGTAGAAATGATTTTTCATGTAACCCATATGACTTCATCAAATTTAATACTCTATCTTAACTTTTGCGGAGTATAGAGGAAAATATTTAAGGCCCTTTGTGTATGGTTGAGCTATATTTCCAAACCTTATGATTGTCTGCATCGCAGTGTAATTACTGTAGATAGCACATAGTCCGCGTATGATGTTACCTGTGATTTAAGGTTACGGGCTCATTTAAGGGTTCGGAAGATTTTTCCGATAGTATGAGTCAGTTTCTTACTAAATTTTCAATTCGCTCCACTATTTTGTATAGTACGCATATTACATTGCCTCTTCATTTTCAGTAGTTCACTGATTGGAGTCCTAATGAATTTTGCATTGGATGGATTATTCCATGTCAGAATTCATGGGCCCGTTCCGCGTTGCCGGCCCGTAGTTTGTGTCTATTATGCATATTTATCAAAGAATAATTTTATTAAATTAAATTTTACTAGCTGGCCCGGTCCGCGTTGCCGGCCCGTAGTTTTAGACTTTAATGCAAATTTTGTATAGCATAATATTTAACAAATCTGGCTCATAAAGGTGAACAAATTTTTACATAAATATTGATCCGACTAAATAGAAATAAATACCTATGGAAGGAGGGCAAAACAAATTTCTGTATAGTCAAAGTTAATTACGCTTTTACACCCAATACCATAGCACCTCAGATTGCGCTTTAGAGTCCCCAAGAAGTCTATGTTCTTGTTCATAGTAAAATTCAATGACGAATCAACAATGCCCGTGTTGTTGTCCGCCAATAGGTAAAAATCACTATAGATCGTGGCCCTGGGGACTTTACCAAAATATTTACCTATGTTGGCATTTTTCTGTAAGATGGTCCTCTACTTACAAAGTAGCCTAAATACAGCAAAATCGATTGGAAAATGTGGTTAAGACCCTCGAAAAAGAAAAGCCAAGATGCCAAATAAAGGCCAAATCAGTTGAAAAACGTGGCCAAGACCACGGTCATAGCTGAAATCAGGGATACATTATACATATAAGGGTTATACCAAAACGTAGCCCAACCAATATTCTCTTGGGGGTTACAAATTCAATATAATACAAAATTTTCTTTTCTGACCACACATTAGATGTGAAAGTGGACTAGGGGATACTCCAATGTGGGGACTTTACTTACATAAATTCCGAGGAGGCAAATATCTGTATGATGGTTCCCTACCCCAGGTTAACATAAATACAATTTTTAGCCAAATCAATTGATGAATGTGGTCAAGACCAATATGGGCCCTACTCTGAAAATTTAAACTTTTCTACCCCCTTAGAAACAAAGATGCCGAATAAGGGCCAAAATATGAAAAAAAAGTGGCCAAGACCCCAAAAATAACTTAAATCATACGATGGTTATATAAATATGAAATCGGGTTGTACCCTTATCCGTGAGTTATGATCGATATCATGTCCTGCAAAAGCGATTTAAGGTATATTGAATGTTTGTGGTGGCAAAACAGAACAGATAATATGGAAATAATTTAACGCAGTTACACCAAAGTGAAAAGATAACTACTTTTTCAAAATCGCTAAAAATCACGAAACAGAGATCTCACCACAAAAATTCTAAAATCGGGAATAATTTAAAAAAAAATTTTTAATGGAATCGAATTTTAAAATAATAGTACATTCTATTGACAAACATCCCAAGGACCTTTAAACTTCTGCTGTAAAATATCATCGAATAAGGTGAAGATTTTTTTCCCTTTTCAATTGCTTTTCTTTCAAATGATTTTTCAAGAAGAATTATTTTCACAATATAAACAATATACGCTTATTACTAAAAAACGGCTTGACGGATTTTGACGATTCATAAAATTTTGGAATCGTATCCTGGCAAAAAATCGCAATAACTTTAAAAATTTAAAATCGGGTTGTACCTTTATCCGTGAGTTATGATCGATATCATGTCCTGCAAAAGCGGTTTAAGGTATCTTGAATGTTTGGAAAGAATTTTTGGAAGGATTGAAATCCTTTTCTTATTAAAAGTCCCATTCGCTCTACTATTTTGCACCCTTTAAATTTGGCATTTTACTGATTGTACTCCCAAAGAATTTTGCATTTTGAGCTCTCATTGAACGGATTATTGTCACATAAAAGAAGTAGGTCCACGCTTTTAAATGAGCCCCATTAGGCTTTTTCGGTCATTTTTGTTTGTTTAAATGTGTTGGCATCTTCCAGCTGAACCACGATGTAGGCCCTGGAGTTGAAAGGTAGATGTCAGTTAACATCCTATTTCGCACTTATTTCATTTTGTTTTTGTGAAAAATTGTATATAGTGAAAAATTATTCTTTATTTTGTTCACAAAAACTTCTCTAAATTCAATATGATAATACAAGTTGAAAAAAAAAATTGACAAATGAAGAATAACAAATTGAAAAAATCTTCCACTTGTTCGCTGATTTTTTACAGCAAATGTTTAAATAACTTACAAAGTTTGTCAGTAAAATGTACTATTATTTTAAATTTTTTTTTTCGATTTTTTCCCGATTTAAGAATTTTTGCAATGAGATCTCTTTTTTGTGATTTTTTAGCGATTTTGATTTTGCACTTATTTGGCATCTTGGTTTCTAAGGGATAGAAGACCTCTTCGGGGAAGTTTTTCAATGTCAATGTTTTGGAGTAGCGCCCATATAAAGGTGTCTCCTGATTTTAACTATTTCGAGAGTTTTGATTATATTTTCGAATCGATATGGCTTAAAATTTGTGTTTAGGCTACTTTGGTAGAGAACCATCTTACATGGGACTATTGTAAACAGTTGATGTATACTGTTTAATATATGTACTATATTATTAGGGTTTCCAACTTCAAATTAAAACCTCTGGCTGAAAAGTAGGATCAGGTGTTTTGAACCACAATAAATCGCCCGGTACGTGAACCTATATTGACACTTTTGAAATGCATATTTATTTCCCTTTAGTCGAGTCATCATTTATACTAAAAACTGTGTCACTTATGTGAGCCAGATCTGTGAATTATTATGCTTCAAAAACTATGCTCTAATTTGGCTTTTAAAAATTATTATTAAAAAATCTAAGAAAAATATGGAGATTTAAGGGAATATTTAATATTGGACTTGAATTGGTTCGAAAGTATACCAAAAAAAAAAAAAGAATACTTTTCGAAATCTAAATAGAAACACTGTGCGTTAGATAGAAAATATAAAATCAAATTGCCGACGGCAAAACACACTTTGACTAACGCACTGAAATTTAATGTGTTTCTTTTTTTAAATGCACTATTGACGTTCACTTGGATAATATAAGCACAAACTTACCTTGATTTTGATGAAAAATCGATGGAAAAAATGAAAATTTAAACAGCAATAAAATCCGGTTCGAACTGGACCAAATGAAAATGCCAAATTTGTGGGTATTTTGCTGGAAAATGCTGGGTTGTTATGCTGCTGTTGGTGGACAGAAAAATATTCCTTGAAGTTAAAAATATTTTTCTCTCGGTTTTGAATCGAGAAAAATGGAAAGAAAGGAATAAAACAATGGGATGAGTTTTGGGTTTGGAAAAAGAATAATTATGGTTCTTTATTTATTCAAATTGGAAAATTTGAACGACGCTTACCAATAACAACAGTTGTGATTGTAGGTTGGTTTACAAGTAAATTTATTAGGAAGAAGGAAAATTGAAAAAGCCGCAGATAGGACACAAACGGACATTTTGAGTAACTGAGCGACACAAACACAAGCAAAGCTTATGGATCGACTCAAAACTTAGGAAATAGAATAAGGGATGCCAGATCGAAGAATTTCGTATTTACAATGCCGTTACCCACGTTATATGGGTAGGACCAGTATTAAAGGACTAGATTTAACTGTATTGAAATCATCAAAAGCCAAATTAGAGCATAGTTTTTAAAGCATAATAATTCACAGATCTGGCTCACATAAGTGACACAGTTTTTATTATAAATGATGACTCGACTAAAGGGAAATAAATATGCATTTCAAAAGTGTCAATATAGGTTCACGTACCGGGCGATTTATAGTGGTTCAAAAAACCTAATCCAATTTTTCAGCCAGAGGTTTTAATTTGAGAGTTGGAAATCCAAATAATATAGCACATATATTAAACAGTATACATCAACTATTTATAATACTCCCATGTAAGATGGTTCTCTACCAAAGTAGCCTAAGCACACATTTTAAGCCAAATCGATTCGAAAATATTTATAATCAAAACCCTCGAAACAGGTAAAATCAGGAGGTACCTTTATATGGGCGCTACTCCAAAACATTGACATTGAAAAATTTCCCCGAAGAGGTCTTCTATCCCTTAGAAACCAAGATGCCAA